ACTTTTTTATTATCGATTTAATGATTTTTGATTTATTTTTTTTTGACGACGAATGGAGAGGGAAAAAGTGATAGTTTTCGTAGTTTCGTTTCAGACTAAAGCACCCGCATATTCTATTAAATAAATAATAAAGAATGTCCATAAAATTTGTAAAAAAAAAATAGATTGCGTTAAAATATAAATATAAGTTATTAATTTCATTTAAGATTTTGGATAGGATAAAATGTTATTATGAAATCAACTATTTGTTAAACAAGATTAATTGTATAATACTTAATTAATCTTCACGCAAAAATAATTATAATATAAAAATAACATTGTTCATCCATATCTTTAAAAATCGAAAGAAAGCGCAAGAATCATATATGCAATAATTATAAGTAAGTTTCTATATAAGAAACAAAAATATTGCAATGTTTTTGTATGTAACAATTAGTGAATTAAAAACTTTCATTGATAAAGTTATAACATGAACATTGCAAACATATAAATTCAATAATTTCATTTTATCTGTTGTTTGTTTGCAAATCTGTTTCATAATGTCTGTTCAATCATTTGGTGTATATTTTAAGAGCAGGATTATTATTGAATAAAATGTTGCATACTTACTATGAATGAAATAGTCACAAAGATTATGATATCAAGTAGCGAGTGCATGGAATGCGATTTACAATATATGACTACACGGCCTTTGGTGCACAGTATGAACGTTTACTTTTTATTGCAGTATACATTTATAAACTCATATGTACATTTAGCTTGTACATAGAGCGATGAATGAATATATTTTATAATCGGATGCGAAAAAGAGAATTTATTTTTTGCCTCCGTAATATAGCATTAGATCATTTTTGCAAGAATAAAAGAGGGTAAAAAGAAATTATAAAAATGATAAAAAAAGATAGATCATGTTATTTTTCAATATCTATAATGATCATGAAATCGAAAATTTAATTCGGTTTCTGAAACATAGATTTAATTTTAATTAATAATAATAATTTAAATTACGTGTATATTGCGTTGCATCGAAACTCAACGCCAATACTCTTTTTTTATAATATAAAATCATAATTTTAAATATTGCGAATTACTTTCTCTTATTTTAGGAGATATTTAATAGAACAGCTTTTAGGTTTCATAAATTTTTACATAGTAATTTTTTGGTAAATCTTATATTTATACATTGATTAACATAATACAATATAGTATAGAAATGTGATGTAAAACATATAAGCATTGTCATTTACGTTGCAAGGTTAGTTAAAATTTCATAAGAAATGAAATGTCTTTATCATTTGTAAAATAATGATCGAATGATATCTAAACTAAAGCGAGTACTTTTCAATTCTTTACTCTGGGATGAAAAATATTTGTTGAGACTGTACAAATTTTTTAATCTTTGAAATTAAATTGTATTATAAAGTTTAATTCGCATTATCCCTTGCATATAATCTTGCGAAATATGTTATCTTTTTATCCTAATCACATGCATCCAGATAATATCGCGTTGTATACTGTAAAACAATAAAACGTCAATGTATTTTTTATTTTTTATTTTATTAAAAGCAATTTAGAATGCATATAATATTAAATAGGAAAATCATTAACGCATAACGTATATGCGTAGATTTTTTGCATGTATATACTATTGTAAATTTTTAGTATTTCTTTTTTTTTTCTTTTTTTTTCTTTTTTTTTTTTTTTTTTTTCTTTAAAATCAAATGCGGGAATAATTTTATGTATATAAAAAACGAAATACATAAAATATATAATAGCCGATATTAAATAGTTGATATATGAAATAGTAATTCAATTTCTTTTTATATAGTGCAAATATTTAAATATAATGAAAAATGAGAAAAAAAAAGAAATAGATGGACTTAGAAAAAAAAAATGTTTCATAAGATAGATTGAATCAATTAAAAAACACTTTTCATCTTTCATTAAAAATATATTTTTATAGAATTTTATGTTATATTTACACGAGATTCTTGTAGAAACGAATTTAGATATAAATATCTTTTTGAAAATTGATATATGTATCAATTTATTTCTAGCACTATTCTAATATATGAATATTAATAAAATCGTGTATTTTATATACATTTTTGATGTGATTAACAGTAATAATTCTATTTCAATATGTATCTACATAATCGATATAGTTTAAATTAAATTAAATCATTAAACAAAGAAATGTTTTGCATTTTTGATTTTTATTTATATATATTATTTATAATATATTATTTCGTATTATATATATATATACATGAAAACTAAATATATATATTTTTTTATATATATAAATAATAAATAGAAATTATGATTCAAAATTAATATTTGAAAATGATATAATGTTTATGTAGATCAAATATATTATATGTTTACTGCATCTACCGTTAGAAAATAATACATGAAGAGTTTATAAAAGGCAATAGTGAATAATGATAAAAATATTTCTACAATACCGACGTAGATATGGAGAAAAAGTGACATTTGCAATTCGTTGTTCATTGGCGCTGTTGTGCGTGAGTAACGTTTCTTGCATGCTACTCGGTACGACTTTTCATTTAACAACATATATTAACTGATACAACAGTTTTTCTTTTCTTAATTAATAATATTTGTTATCAATATATTTTTAATTTATTATTTTTTTACTATGAAGTGTAAAAATTTTGGTTAATAATTTGGTGATTCTTTCTAAAAACTTGTTTTCATATTGGCAGGTGTTCCATTGTCATAACGGATGAAATGAATATTTATCTATGGAAAGGTCATTTCAGTTTGCTCGAGAAATTACAAGTATTTTTTATGTGGTTTAAGAAAAACTGTTAAATTTGGTTAATTTAATACAAGTAACGAATGAATACAAATAACATCGAATTTGTAATTATTAAAACTATATGTCTTGACAAATAAAATTTTAAGTAATATTAGGTAAGTAAAATAATTTTTATAAAAAAAATCGCTTTATATTTCAGTAAAATATATATAATCTTTTAATTTTTTTTCTGTTTTTTTTCTTTTCCAATATAATATTAAGTGTTATTTCTTCTTCTTTTAAGATTATTTTGAATAATTTGATAATTTCTTTATTGTGTTATGTGATTAAATTTTTATGTAATAAGATAATTTTATTATTCTAATATCATATTTTACTTCTTTTTATTAGTTTTATAAAATTTTATTTCAATGAATTAAATGTAAAATGTATCGAAAATGATTAGAAATTTTGTAATTAGATAATATATAATTTAAATTTGTTAAATCTTTATTGTGGTATTACAAAATATCTTATCATAATATAATCATACATAAAATTATTAATTTTGGAATTTTAGATTTTTCAAATATAAAATATTTTCTTATAAAATAAATATCAATATAAATAATTTATAAATTTTTATAATTTATTATATTATATTATTATATATTTATTATATTGATATTTATAATTATTCATTATTTATTTATAAAATTATTACATTAATATGGATTAACAATTATTAGAAATTTAATAATTAATAAATAACTAAATACACATAATATATGTATATAAATATGTTCGTAAAAAGTTTTTCATATCTTTTATAGAAAAACAATGTATAATAGAAGGTAACAACCAAAGAAGATAACTATGGCCAACAGAAAAGATAAATCATCTACAGGTTTTGTAAGTATTATATCATAAATAAAATTAAAGTTAATACAATTAACATTATAATAAATAGAAATGCAGGAAAGAAACAGAAATATGATTTATTTTTAATTCTTGTTTATATTGTTTATTCGTTTATTATTGATTTCATCAACTATCATCCATTTAATGATGAAATTTGAAAATTGATGTCTTCTTTGTGCGATAAATTTTTATAAAATTTGCAAAAAATCAGATAAATGGTAACATATATAATGTCTCTGCATATAAGTACTAATATCTTTTGATATTAAAGAGATAATGTAATAATATATTATATAATATATATAATAATATATAATATATAGAAGTTGATAATAACTTTTATAATGGAAAAATGCTTGTGAAAATAATTAAATTTAACAATGTTTAATAATAACAAATTCAAACAAATCAATGAAAGTAGTAATTTAAAACTATTCAAGTAAACTATTGAATTATTTAAATTATTAGCATGTAAATATGACGGTATTTTGTTAGTTTGAAAATCGTTTTTCTAAGAATATGATTAAAAATAAATATAGCATTACATTGAAATTCTCAATTCAATTCTCAGTAATACAGTATATCATATGATATATATATGTATATATATATAGGATATATATATAAATATACGCATATGTTATATTTCCTGCTATAATTATGGGTTTCATATGATAACAGAATAAACATTCAATCGAAATAAATTTTAATTTTTGGCATATTATCATATAAAATTAAATTGTTCAGCAAGAATAAATTTTCGAATATAATTTGAAAATATTCGAATATAGTTTTTTAAAAATAAAACATTATTACATATATGAATCAGACGAATCATTCAAAGTAAATTGTTTCACATACAGAAAAAACTTATTTTATGATATATATTAGGATAGAATAACCAGAACAATTTAATTAAATATACTTTTTTTATTTTTTTTTTTTTTCTATTCTTTCATATTAACTTTTCTTCCAGAAAGGAAGATTTTTTTTTCGTTTTTTCTTTTTTTTGTTAATAATTATTAAAATTCAAAATTTTAAGTATTTCTGAGAATTTTAAAAAATTGTTTGATGATTAAAAAAATTATTTAATTAAAAAGATTAAAATTTCTTTCATATTTTATAAATTAATTAAAAAGATTTAATGAAAAATTATTACTAAATAATTAAAAAATGTTTAACTCTTTCTATTTTCAAACAATTTATCGTATAAATAATCGAGAAATATGCAAAAAACATTATTACATATTTAAGATATACAAATAACAATGCTTTTTATTTTTTTCTTTGTGCACAAACAAAACAATTAATGAAAGATATAAAATATGATAAGAAAAGGATGGAACGAAAGCACTCATGTTAGCTGTCAGTCATAGAGATTATATCGTCATTCCTTCACATAACGTTGATCTCATCAGTGCATACATTTCTTTTCTCATACTTTATATCAACAACAATTCGTTAACGTTATTAATAATGTTATCAATAAATTGATAAAATTTATATATAATATGAAAGTTAATTTTTAACGTAAATTTTGAAAGTAAAAAAGAACAAAATATTTTTTGCAAATTTAAGACGTCAAACAATATTGAAATAATTTTAAAATACTATTTTTACTTAAATTATCGCAACCTTGAACTATTTGCGATTATGATGTCGAAAAATGATATAGAAAACTTAGAATGTGAGTCACTATTACTGTCGCTCCTTCATTAAAGTTGCCAATTATTTATATGCCGATAATATTTTCTTTTTAACAATTGTGTTGTATATTGTTATTGTTTAAAAATTCGATTTCAAAAGAACAAAAATAAAGAAAAGAAAAAACAAGAAATAGATTTGTATAGAAGTATGAGAGATATATAAGAAAAAGTGTGGAGATAAAATGATTGCAAGAATTTAAAGTCAGGAAAAGTTGTTTACAATATATATAAAAAAATTGATGAAATAGTTTCTCGTTTTATCCGCATCAAGAGACATGAACGCATGAAGACCAATCTGCGAGACACACGATGCGATGGCAATCTACTTACTTAGTTGATCGTAGATAGACTTGTAATAATTACGCAGGCGCGCTTCTTCGATATTATCAAGGCCAACATGATTTTCCCTTCTTTCAATCCGTTCAATGACTCGATGATGATGGCGTTAATTTGATTCTACTTTTCGATTTGATACTGTTCGCTCGTTAACTCAAGAAAACATTTCACTCTATGATTCAATATCTGTCCGAAGGGACGCGCTCGCATGCACCAATCTTGATTTGTGCGAAGGTCATGAAACAACCGCGCCGTGACGTGCCTTGCCGATTCATTGCTCTGCCAAAATAAAACGAAAAACTATGCTTTATCGAAATTTTTTATTGAATTGTCATATATCGGGAATTTATTTAAAAATTTTCTTTATCCCGAAGAATTTGAATTTTGAAAAATTTTACATTATTATCACAATATATTATCGGATAAATGAAAAACGGTATTATAAACAAATCGATTATTGTAGATAGAGAGAAATCAAAATTTTTTTATTCAGTAAAAATAACTGAGTAATTTTGATGCATCGATTACTATAAACGATAAGAAAATACTTCTCTTTTTTCTTTTTTTAAATCTTTCTACTAATGATCACAGATTGAGTAAAATTTTATTTTCAAATATGAAATCGTGGAGTTGCAAAAGATGAAGAGAGATAAAAACAAAGACAGAAGGGGAAAGGGAAGAGAGGGATTAATTCTAAGAATAATGCAATGACATTACATTGATTTCTTGATAATTTATACGAATTGAAAGTCGAATAATGTAATATCGTCATCCCTATTCGTGAGTGAGTGCTATATTAAGATCGAATTAGAACGACAGCAATTTTGTAATTGATTTCTTTTTTATTCTCTTTATTATTTATTGTTGTAGCTGGACACATGGTTCGGCCGACCAAAAAAATCTGGGCGTGGAGGTGGGGTCAGAAGTGGTTTAGGAAACAATACTATACCACGACCTCATTCCGGTGATGATTTCAATGAGATTGAACAGCAACGTTGTATCATCGAAAGAATGGATAAAGAAACAGTAAATGATAAATTTGAGGAAATGTTGGTAAGTTAAGATCTATCTTTCGATCCATGATATATGATTTAAAATAATTAAATTTTTTATCGAAAAAGGCTAATATGAATTTGACCGAAGAAAAAAAAGAACCATTACGACAACAATCGGAAGCAAAGAAAAGAGAGATGTTGGTTTTGCATTATAAAGGTAGCATTCAGGAAAATAAATCAAAATTTGATAAACCCGCGGATTATATTCAATATTTGGCGCAACCTGATTTAAGTGTCAACAAAATCTACAATTGCATTGAATCATTAAGAATAGCATTGACAAATAATCCTTTAAGTTGGGTTCAAGAATTTGGTACAAAAGGATTGAAACAGGTTTTAGCAACGCTCAACGAGTGCTATCGAAAGTAAGTATTTTTTATAAAAAAAATTGTTATGTTACGTCATTTATCATAGCATTGGTATATTGTCTGATTAAGAATTTCTAATATTCATATTATTCTATTGCAGTGCCTTCATATATTATAATAGGTAATCTTTGTAAAAATACTATTTGTTTTAATTTTATAGCAATTTAGAATATTTTGCATTGTTTTTTTTTTTTTCCTCTTAGCTTTTTATATTGATATAGATGCACGTTAGTGTATATGATATATATATGAGAACACTAGTAATATTATACATGTACATATATGTATGTACATTATATGAAAAAATTATGAGCAAGATTCTGTAAATTTTATGCCAAAAAAATTTTTTTTATATGTTTTTTATATAAGTCAACAGAATGTTAATATATTTATAGAATATTTTTGTAGAATGGATAATATAAAAATTGATGTGTAAAAATTTTACATTTGATAGAAATTTATTATTAAGCTTTTATTTTATTTATTATAAGAAATTTAATTTTATGTTTAAATTAAATGAAACTAGAAAAAAATGGTGTGAAACAGCAGTTTGAGAGATAAAAACTGTCTCTATTTTATTTTTGTCTTGTTTTATAACGCAAATTTCAATTTGTTATAACTTAAATAATATTTGTATATTAAATTTTATGTTTTAACTTCCAAAATCGATCTTTCAAAAATATTCCATAAATATATTAATATTCTGCGTATATATTTTAATGCTTCGATAATTGTCGTTAAAGAACAAAATGATAATGTCAATGTTTGTTCTTTAATTGATAATCTATGTGATGTTCCATATATAATAGTATTGATCGACTAATCGAAAATCAAAAATCATGTGAAATTTATTGAACACGAACATTTATTACATTTAATTGAATAGTTCGAATAGTCAGTGGTTAAAGATTTTTCTTTTCGAATAGTTGGACAGTTCAATGAAAATATTTTTTTTTTATTTTCTGTAATTAGTTTCGATAAATTGATATTCTTTTGTGTTTTATAACAGTGACAATCGATACGAACGTATACAGTACGAATGCATTCGATGTTTGAAGGCTATTATGAATAATACCGTTGGTATAAAGGAGATGTTGGCTCATCAGGAAGCACTCACGATCGTAGCTAGATCATTGGAGCCGACAAAACCATCCGTTATGTCAGAGGCTGTAAAACTGCTTGGTGCAGTTTGTCTTATTTCAAGCGACAGTCATAAAAAAGTTTTGGATGCGATTACTATGAACGGAGAGTTTAAAGGAAGAGAAAGATTTTTACCTATTGTACAGGGTCTGATGAATAAGAAGAATGAAAATCTAAGAGTACGTTTTATAATCGCTCTAATGTCTTCATTTTTCAATTTTATTTCTTTTTTTTATTTATTATTATTATTATTATTATTATTATTATTATTATTATTATTATTATTATTACTATTATTAGTTCTTACTATTAAAATGCATAAATTGCAATTTATTGATTGATAGGTGGAGTGCCTTCAACTTATCAATTCTATCATTTCTTCGGCCGAAGAATTAGACTTTAGATTGCATTTACGAAATGAAATCATGCGAGTCGGCTTAGCCGATATTTTAGAAACATTGGAAAAAAATGAATCTGAAGATTTAGCTAGACATTTGAAAATTTTCAATGATCATAAAGAGGAAGATTATGAAGAATTTGTACAAAGATTTGATCACGTACGATTGGAATTGGATGATGTAAATGATTGTTTTGAAGTAATAAAAAATATGGTAATGGAAACGTCTGCTGAACCATATTTTTTATCAATACTTCAACATCTTTTATTCGTCAGAGACGATGCTTTAGTCAGGTAGGAAAAAAACATAGCTTTTTGCATACTATTTATTTTCTTTTTCCTTTTTTTTTATTTTCTTCTTTTCTAATAGACCGGCCTATTATAAACTGATAGAAGAATGCGTATCACAAATTGTGTTGCACCGTTCAGGCTGTGATCCGGATTTTAGTGCAACTAAGCGTTTTCAAATTGATGTCCAACCATTGATCGATACATTGGTTGAAAAATCACGAGTGGAAGAAGAAAGGCGATTGGTTGAAGTATTGCAAAAGTTAGAAGAAGCTATAGCTAGTAAACAAGAAGCAGAAGCGAAACTTCAACATGCAGAAAATAAAATTAGAGAGTTGGAACAAGGAGGAATTAAATCAACCAATGGTAATGCGGTAAGTTTATCATGAAATTTTCATTTAAAGTTTCTATTTGATATAAACATAATTTGCTTTTGATTTATAACTATTATCAACTCGAAATTGTTTTAATTTGTAACAGAAAATTGGTTCAGTCCTATCGGTTTGGCTGGAATTGGTAATCTTCCACCTCCACCACCTCCGCTTCCGAATGCAAGTGGATCAGCAATAATAATAGCACCGCCACCTCCACCACCACCACCTTTACCGGGTTCTGGCGGTCTATGTCCGCCTCCACCACCACTTCCTGGATTAGGAGGACCGCCACCACCACCTATGCCTGGTATGCTAGCAGGTCCTAAACCTCCACCAATGCCGCAATCAGGTCCTCCACCGCCAATGATGGGTGGGATTAATTCCGCCATTAACATGTCACAATCGCTTCCATTAGGATTAAAACCAAAAAAAAATGGGAAGTCGATGCACCGTTGAAGAGAGCAAATTGGAAAGCAGTAAGTAAAGTATATTTATACTTTTTAATAATATAATCTTTTTTTTACTATATAATACAACATATCGTAGATTATGCCACATAAACTCACCGAAAAATCATTTTGGATAAAAGTGCAAGAGGATAAGTTGGCTAGTCCCGAAATACTAAATGGTTTAAGTCTAAAATTTGCATCAAAACCAAGTGGGAAAAAAATTGATGACGTTGTCGATAAGTAATTAACTAAAAATTATTTTATTATTGAAATATGAAAATTTTAAAATCTTTGATAATATGATGCTTCTTGTTATGTAGATCAGCTCCATCAAAGAAAGTGAAAGATTTAAAAGTTCTTGATGGAAAAGCTGCTCAAAATATTCTTATACTTCTTAATGGTACTTTAAAGCATATGTCATATGAAGAAGTAAAATCTTGTTTACTCAAATGTGAAGGACCCGTTATTTCGGATAATATACTTCAAGGACTGATACAGTATTTACCGCCACCCGATCAATTAAAAAAACTTCATTTTTATAAAGATCAGTATGATGATTTAACAGAAGCTGAACAGTTTTGTATTACTGTAAGTGCATTTTTCAAGCAATTTTTGATCGAAATGTCTTCTGTAAAAGAACTGTATCTAAATATTTGAAACAACTATTTTATTTATTCTTTGAAATATTTTCGAGTCTATGTACTATAGATATCGACAATCAAGAGATTGTTGCCGAGACTGAGATCATTAAGTTTCATGCTGCGATATGAAGAATTAGTACAAGATGTAAAACCGGACATAGTGGCAGGCACAGCAGCTTGCGAAGAAGTAAAGGATAGTAAAAAATTTGCCAGAATTCTGGAATTGATCCTGTTGCTTGGCAATTATATGAATTCTGGTTCAAAAAATGGTCAAGCATTTGGATTTGAAATTAGTTTTCTTACTAAGGTTTGTTTCTTATTGTGCTTGTAATTTCCAATAATTTATAATTATATTTGTAATTCAAAATAACAAAATCTCAATTCTATTTTTTTACCATATAATAATGATTTCTTTTAATTTTCAGTTGACTAGCACTAAGGACGTTGATAACAAACAGACTTTAATGCATTATTTAGTAGATACAATAGAACAAAAGTTCTCAGAATGTCTCACTTTTACAGAAGAACTGGCACACGTAGATAGAGCAAGTCGAGTTTCGTTAGAAAATGTACAAAGAACTTTGCGACAAATGGATTCTAGTATTCGAAATCTCGAACAAGATTTATCGAATGCCAAAATACCACAATCCGATGAAGATATGTTTTTACATGTCATGGGTGTATCCTTTTTTTTTCATCATTATATTGTAATTATAAATATCATGAATATTTGATTGAGTTTTTAAATTATATTCTTTATTACATTGTTTTCCTTAAATATCATATCGAATATACAGCCTTTTGCAAAAAAAGCCCGTGAATCTTACGAAGTTCTTCAAAATATGTTTAAAAATATGGACAGCTTATACACAGAAATTTCCGAATTTTTTTCTTTTGATAAACAGAAATATACAATAGAAGAATTTTTTGGCGATATAAAAACATTTAAAGATGATTTCATGGTAAGTAAAAAAATCGAAAAGCAAAGCTTGTATCATATTTATTTTTGATGCATATTTTTGCAGCAAGCTCAAAAAGAAATAATAAAGATGAGAGAAACAGAAGAAAAGCAAAGAAGAGCGAGAGAGGCGCGAGAAAAAGCAGAGGCAGAGAAAGCAGCTCGAGTAGCAAGGAAAATAGCACTTGTCGATATGAATGCACATGAAACTCAGGAAGGTGTTATGGATAGCTTAATGGAAGCTCTTCAAACTGGTTCCGCGTTTAGTCGACCAGATCAACGTCGGAAACGTCAAATACGCGCTGCTGGTGGTAAGTTGTATAGGACTGCATACGCTTCAACGAAATCTACGAAGAAGGAGAAATTGTTATTTGCTAAAATGTATCAATCGGGAGAAGCTAAGCGATTTGCAATTAAACGAAATCAAAATAATATTACGCGAAATGTCTCTCTTTCTCGTGATCCGCTCACAATTTCAAAAAATTCTGATTTTACACAATATACAACACCGGAAGAAAATCAACATTTTTATAAGCGTTTATTACTTGATTTTGTCACAAGAACGCCTAAACAAGATAAATTTTTATCTAGGATTAGCTCATTTAAAAGAAAAAAACAAAATGAAATCGCATCCAAGAAAATACGTATTGATCAATTAATGTTTGAAGAAACTCCGAAAAGAGAGATTTCTATAAAAATATCTCGAAATTTCGATGAAATCTCGAATTTATCAAATAATTCCGATCAATGTGTTGCATCTTACGGATTTGTGATAGATGAGCTAAAAAAACATACTCCGACGCATGTCAAATCGAATTTAGTTTCACCTTCTCCATATCAAACGATTTCTATAGGTACAGCTGTAAAGCTTACTCCAGTTAAACGAAGACAAGTTATAGTAAGTAAGAAACGTAAAAGAAACAGTATAGTGCGGCGTGTTGTTAAGGATCGTAAACAAAGGCATTCGAGATCTAGCGATAATCGAAGAGCACGAAAGTTGTTCAATTATTTGGATAGTCCTATAGGCGAAAGTATTTCGCTGATCGAAAATCGTTCCTTTTCCATGCATTCGAATCGGATAATAGAAAATCTATGGACAATATTGCAACTAAAATTGATAAAACGATTCCATTAAAGTTGATTCAAAAAAAAAATTTAGACGATATCCTTTGTTGGAAAGATGAAAATAAAAATGATTTGTCTATACAGAATTCGAACAGCCAGCTTCCATCTTTGAAGTGTTTTTTTCAATGTCCGATATTGAATTCGAGCGGAAAAATGACTGAGCTGGACGAACTTACTTTTCAGATGACACAACCTATTACTATTGAATCTCAAATTAATAATAATCTCGATACTTTCCATCAGTTAAAATTGACAAATAATGCATCAAAAAATTGTTCGATATTTGCGCTCAAAAAGGACACGCTTTCGATATCGACTAAACAGGAATGCAATTTTATAATCACAACTGAAACTGAACAGGCCGTTTCGATGAAGAAAAAACATCGGAAAAGGATTTGGAAATTTTGGTAGATTTGTCAAACGATTGCGTCGTCGTAATTTCTTCGAATGTTACATAACTATAACTGTTTCATATTGTATTTCATTGTATCTATGTAATTTTTACGACAAGACTGAATTTTGTTTCATTTTAATACTATTATATATTTTATTTTTTTTGTTTTTTTTTTTTATATATTTTATTTTTTTATTTTCTCTTTTTTTATATATTTATTTCTTTAAATTTTTATAATCCTCATTACATTGAATTTAAAAAAAAACATTATGATTATTTTTCCTGCATACTTCTTTTTCTTTTTTTCATCTTTTATTTTTGGGGAAATCATATTGCATCAATTATTGAAATAGTTTTTGCTAGTCATTTGAAACAGGAAAAGAAAAAAGAAATAAAGTTAAAAGAAGAAAAAGAAGAAAAAGAAGAAGAAGAAGAAAAACATATAATACTGTTTTGTTTTTACAAGAAAAAACTTATAGGCTGTGCTATATTCTGTGATCGAGATACAAATAAATATCAAATATATATACGCATATACATGTATCGATCACTTGTAATTGCATTCGTTGTAAATATCGTAAGTTTCAAATTAATAAAGAAAGTTTCCTATACTATCGATACTATACTGTATTTAAACTATTTTCGTTAAAACTGATATGTTGCGCGCAACAGATAATTCTAATCAACATGATATGCAAAGCTTATGACGCAAAATGATGCAAGTTAATATAACGCATACAAGTGTATGAAAGACGGATACAAACGACGTAAATATTTCTTTTTTACAGCAGAAAGAAGAGCTCAACTTAATAGAAGTCGATCGCGTACCGGATTAGTTGGAACTGGTTTGCTAGGAAGAGAACTTTCAACGTAAGTATTTAGATATAACAACTATATCTGAATTCAGATCTTCTCGCGATATATGTATACACACGTATCGTATTCCGATACTCAAAATCGATTATCGTATACGATATGTTTGATAATAACGAGAAAAGATCACAACGAAAAATTTAGTAAAAGAAATGAGATAGACTTGGGACAAGGGAAGAGATATAAAAAAATTATAAAAAGGGATTATTTTCAAAATAATACTTTGCCTAACAAACGTTGTTACAGAGAACTTATAAGCTCGGCATAATCCATGGAATAACCTGTTTCCGTCCTAAATTCAAAACTGTGATGGATCGAGTGTTTGTTTTATCAATAAATGAAATCGGTAAAAAAAATACAAATAATTTGAAAAGCACGCGAACTTTCGATATCAATTTATTCGGTATCAGCGAAAGAAAGCTTTGATTTTTGCGAATTATAATTAATCTAGCAGTCTTCCTATTATTATGGCTAATGTGTTTAGAGCAATTGTTTCGTAGATATACGTAACATGTATTAATACAATGCTAAGCGTTTCAATGATAATGAAAAAAAAACATTTAAAAATAACTCGACTAAATTTTCTATCAAATTTTCAACTTCTTAATTGGTTTTTTACTTTTATTGAACTAATTCCATTAACAGAAAACATACATTTTACAACTGTGAAATAATATATTATGTAAATATGCATATACATATACAATATGCGTACAATAGATCTTTTTCTTTGCGTTAATCCAAAGACGGCTGATCTTGAGCACGGTGATCGATTAGCCTCGTTCGATTATGTGAAAACGCATATTGGTAATCGAATCCTTGTATTGTCGCGAAACCTTTCAAACCGTGCCAAATCAATGAAGCGTCGAAAAAAAAAATGAATTATGCGATAATTTTAAGCATTTTTGCGTAAAATGTTTAAATGCGGACCGATTTGTAAAAATTCAAATGAATTTGAAGATATATTTTGACGCTATATTAAAATAATGAAAGACCATTTATTTTTCGAATCTCGAGTTCGGCAATTGTTTATATTGTATGTATTAACGTCAGATCTTAAAATAATTTGTATCTATATTGTGAATATGTGAACTTAGATAGTATCAATACATTACGATCAATACAATCGTAGCATTTTTTTTTTTTTTTTACTTATGATACATAGAACACCTTTAAGTAAAGGGTGTGGTATTTGATTGATATTGTTCGAGCGACAATCAATATTACAAAATGCGTTGCGTGTATATATTTATGTACATTGGCGTAACTGCCAATCAATTTTTCTAACAAAAATTTCTTATAAAAAATAATAATAAATTAATAATAATAAAATGAGAATAAAGTAAATTAATTAATAACATCAAGTTGGGTGGAATCGAATAGAAATGAATCAATTGGAATAGATACATATTTATAATCGTTATACGGTTTAATTGTACAATTATTTCTTCGATCTTTTCAATTGTCGCTTGAGCAACGAACAGAGAAGCCTTGCAACGGCACACCGATGGTATATGGCATACATATGCGCATACGCACATGCGATGGTGCTCTCGAGCGCGCACACGCGTGCGCGTCATTATACTCGCGCACACCTGTGAGAGAATAGTTGAATCCATTTGCAAACAGACGAGGTCACATTTATTCGTATGACGAGAAAAACCTATCTCTCGGTACACGCGTGTATCGGGCAAACGAGTGTACGGTCAACAAGCTAGTTGATGCATAAACGACGTGCTTTTAGCGTCTCAATATTTCAGTGCATTAATCGTGGTACTGTTCGCAGTCATTTTTTTCTGATTTCCTAGCAATCATATTTCGCTTGATTTTTAACTGTACATTAAAGCAGAATATTTACGTTAAAATGTGTTCGATAGTTTTGACATGTGAACACATAAGCATGCGACAATTCGCCTATCTCTATCCGGCGACATTTTAAATATTTTGAATCAATGGCTCACTGTAATTTTATTTTAATTCATTATTGAGAAGAGAAACATTTTTTGACAAATCATATTGAATAGTAAACTGAACAATATCGAATCTCAACTGAACGAACAATTGACGCTACAGACTGAATGCTCATTTTTCTCGTTTCAATTCGATCCATATCTCTGTTTGATTGCAGCAGTCAGTCTTTCATTTGCACCTATATTTATAATATATTAACTAAAGAATAGGGAAACATTGATATCGTGGACGAAACATTCTATTTGATTTCGATAGTTTACCAATTGAATCGTGTTATTATTTTCTGAAGGTGATATTGCTCGCACGATAGAATGAAGAATATACAATGAACATACCTATCGTGTCAGGAGATATCGTCGAAAATGATACCCATAAACTACGTTTTATTAGGGTGAGTATCGCATCAAATTTTTTAAATACGTTTTTTATTTTATTTAATTTTACTAATTGATTTACATTATTTGTTTTGTTTACCAAATATATTACATTTTAATCAAATATATTATCAAATATATTTCGTATACATTTACACGATACAATATCAAAATGAAAATACAATGGTAAAATTTCTTCATTATAATTTGTTTTAAAATAATGAATTTAGAAAAAAAAGAACTTCTTCAAAGTATTTATACGTGTATAACGTTCAATCAATTTCATTGAATTAAGAATTTAGAAATATTATCTTGATAATATTATAGAAGATAAATAATATATAAAAAATATAAATTACGTATATATATATAATTATTTTATTATAAATAGTAAAATATTTAACACATTTGTTCATTGAATATAACGCATTTATATAATTTTTTTCATTAATTCTACGCCATTTTTCAATCATCAATCAAATAACTACAATTTGTCTTGTGCTTCATAAAATAATTTAAATATAATGATACGTGTGTGTATGTGTATATATATATATATATATACATATATATATAATGTATATTATGTTTATATGCGCGTACACGTATGTATGCAATAATAAAAAATCTTCAAAAAATTACAATAGTAATAACAAATTAAATGGACATAATTCGCAATCATTTATTTATAATGATTAATTAATGTGATTCAAAAACTAAAATAGCAAAAATGCATAGCAAATAAAATTTTGATTTTCTCTATTTAGAATTATAGAATATTGATCTAGAATAAAATTATTTATTAGAAGTATTCAAAACTATATATAATAAGAAAATACATATATCTCATTAATCATTAATCTTAATCTTAAATTTTCTATAAACTAAAAAAAATTTTCTAAAACTTTTTAGCAAAAGAATTTTTATTCTTATTAAGTTGCAAGAGAATTATATAAAATTTAACAATCTTTTCGTTTGATTATATAAAATACACAATCAAACGGTCGATGTTAATAAATGAAAAAAAGACATAGCATAAATATAAAAATCAACAGAACATGAATATTCGATTATTCAATTTGGTTTAATAAATATATGCATAAAAATGTATGAAATATAGAAATTAGTAAAAATTCGTCACAAAGAAGTGATCATTTCAAATTATAAAAAATTTATGAAAAATTTTATAAAATAATTTGAATAAAATAATTGAAAGATTGCTGAAATTCATATATTGAATAAACTTGATAAATTGATTTACAACTCATCATAAAATTAATAAATTAATCTAGCTCATAATAAAATCTCAGATTGTAAATTTTAAATAATTATATTCAGATTTAAAAAAAAAGCGCGAATGATTTTTCAAAATTTACAACATTTATTAATGATAGAGCATAATATTAAAAAATGAAACAACCGACGGTGGCCGAAAGAGAGCGTAGTCAGTCGGATTGTCACGAACCGAAGCGAAATTTGCCGAATGAGAAAAGAGATCCGATCGGTCATTAACTAGAGTAGATCGAGGAAGGTGAAAAATTGGTGGATTATATTGTGCACGTTATTCGTCTTTTGATCGATATCGAGCCAATAGTGATCTTCTTGGTTAGTCTTTTCTTCTCTCGTGCTCTTTTATATATATATATATATATATATATATATATATATACTCCT